GATTCTCTATCTTTAATTTTGGACATTTTAATTATAATGTGTCTTGGTGTGAGCCTCTTTGGGCTTACCTTTTTTGGAGCTCTCTGTGCTTCCTGTATGTGGATGTCTCTTTCCTTCCTTAGATTAGGAAAATTTTCAGCTATTATTTCTTCAAATAGGTTTTCTGCCCCTTTATCTCTCTCTTCTTCTGGGACACCTATAATACAAATGTTAGTGTGCTTGATATTGTCCCAGAGTTCCCTTAGACTGTTCTTATGCTGTCTAATTCTTTTTTCTTTTACCTGTTCAGCTTGTGTGATTTCCTCTAGTCTTTCATCTAGCTCGCTGATCAGTTCTTCTGTATCAACTACTCTGGTATTGAGTCCCTCTAGTGAATTTTTCATTTCCAGTACGGTATTCTTCATTTCTGATTGCTTCTTTTTTATATTTTCCAGTTCTTTGTTGATGAGATCACTGTGTTCATCCTGTCTTCTCCCAATATCTGTGAGCATCCTTATGAGTTTTTGTTTGAACTCTTTGTCAGGTAGGTCGCTTGTTTCTGTTTCATTTAGTCCTTTTTCTGGGGTTTTGTCCTGTTCCATTGTTTGGAATGTATTCTTTTGTCTCGTCACTGTGCTTCTTTCTCTGTGCTTATTTCTATGTATTAGGTGAGTTGGCTACGTCTCCTGATCTTGGAGAAGTAGCCTCATGTAACAGATGCCTTTTGATGCCCAGCAGTATGCTTCCCTCTCGTCACTAGTCCAAATGATCCAGGAGTGACCGCTTTGTGGGCTACTTGTGTCCTTCTGCTGTGTCAGGGTTGCTCTTAATGCAGGTACCCAGGAAGTCTAGTCTTTCCTTGCCTGGCCAGCTCTTTGTAAATCTGGTTTGGGGAGCCTCAGCACCATTGGCTACAAGGTCTAACAGTACACTCCTAATGCAGCTTTCCCAGTAATTGGGTAGGTACCCAGTGTGGCTTACACTTGCTATAGGCTTCAGGCCTACAAGGCTGTTTTCAGTTCTCTTAGGGGTGCAGCTGTGTGGTGCTGGCCCTAAGTATGGGAGTACTCATTTGTTTCAAACTTTGGAAGGTGGTGCTGATTCTTTTTATGGCTACTTGTGAAGCACAGGTCTTCTGCCATTGATAAGCTTCACCCCCCACAGGACCACACACACTGTCAACACAATCCTGGTCCACGCACCCTTCCCAACCCCCTGGAGAATACCCCAATGCCCCACTGCAGAGGCCCCCACCTCTCCACCAATGCCCCTGACAGTTCACCTGGTCCTCACACAGGCCCTGACCCACAGAGGTGGACACACTTGCCTGCCTGTAGATGATCAAGGCACCCAGTCAATGCAGGCCAAACAGTAGCCTGAGGGCTTGTTGTTGAACATTTCCAGTCCCTAAAGTGGGCTGCCTGCCCTGGCTGAAGTAGATTAAATCTGCACTCTAGTGGATGTGACAGACCCCTGGGTTAACAGGCCAGGGGAAGAACTTCAATGGCGTCTGCTGGGGTCTATCTCAGCCTGCCTGGACTAGTTGACAACAATGGCTACAACCAATGTCTCAGTCTCTGGAGAGGTCTCTCCTCTCACTGAGATGCACCCAGAGCCTACCAGGTGAGTCTCTTTTCACCAAAGGACTGTCACACTTCTTTCTGGTGATTTTAGGTTGCTCTCTGATTCGGATGAGTTTGTGCATGGACCCTTTAAGACCAAGATTTTTCTGACTTTGATCTGATGGCTTTTCTGGCTGTATTCCCTCTTGCAGTTAATAGCCAGCAAAGCCAGATAGTAAGACCCTCTTCTCAGTTGTGCCGAGTCTGAAGGATGTTTACAGCAGTATCAGGCCCCTACTCAGCACCTCACTCCTCCAGGAAGGTCTGCATACCTTATGGTGGCTCCTGCTTGGCAAGCTGAGAAATTCTGCTGCTCTTGAAGGTGGCCTTTTTTCTCTCCAGAAGGAATTTCTACCTCTTCTGCCTTAGTCATGACTGTCCCTTGTTGTGGGGGTTATTTTTATCCTGTTTTCATTTGCCTATCCAGGGTAATTTTTCCAAAAATAATTGTAACCTGGTTGTGTTCATGGGAGGAGATGAATTCAGAGCCTGCCTACACCGCCATCTTGATGATATCTCTCCTCTTTCATTTGTAATTTTGTTGATCTGGGTCCTCTCTCTTTTTCCCTTGGTTAGAGTAGCTAAAGGTTTTTCAATTTTGTTTATCTTTTCAAATAAAAATATTTTTCAAATAATAACTTTATAGCTAATGGGTTTTGCCCACAAAGTGAATTTTTTCTTTTTCCCCCAGCTTTATTTTGTTAAAATTAGCAAATGGTATTGTAAGATATTTAAAGTGTACAACATGATAATTTGATATACATATACATTGTGATAGGATTCCTCCATGAAGTTAATTAACACATTCATCATCTCACATATTTACCTTTTTTGTGATCAGAACATTTAAGTTTTACTCTATTAGCAAATTTCAATTTTATGATACAATGTCATCAACTATAGTCATCATGTTATATAGTAGATTCTCAGACTTTGTTGCTCTTACAACTGAAAGTTTGTACCCTTTTATTAGCCTCTCCCTCTTCCTTCATCATCCAGGACCCTGGAAACTAATTTTCTACACTCTGTTTTATCAGTTTGACCTTTTTTCTCTGTTTAGATTCCACATGTAAGTGAAACCATGCAGTATTTGACTTTGTCTGGCTTATTTTATTCAGCAAAATGCCCTCCATGTTGCTGCAAATGACAGAATTTCTTTCTTTTAGGCTAATATAACGTGTGTGTGTATGTGTGTGTGTATATATATATATGGCCCAACTCAATTCATTGGGCTGCAATATGCAAATGTAATTATGATGCTGGTGATAGCTACCATGAGTTGAATGACTACTACATGCCTAGAACTTCCAAGTAGTTTAAATATATTTAGGATCTCTGAACATTTTATTTAATTTTACATACCCTTCTAAACTCTTATGATTTTAGATAAATAATGATTTTTGAATTCTATTATTAATAATACAAGCCTTGTGATTTTGTACAATACTTAATATTTTTCAGTCTTTTACGTATACTATCTCAGTCTTGATATTAAAAGCAACTTAATGATCAGATAGGATAGGGATTCATTAAATACAAAAGGAAAAAATCAAAACAAAATTCCCTTTGAATGGTATGCTACTTAATATGTAACTATATCTAATAAAGTAATGGATAAGTAAAAAAGGAGTTCTGAAAGTGCCAGGCCTGAAATGGTAGTGATCTATTTAATGAGATTGATATTGTTTACCTGAAGTTGTAGATGTCCTTATGGATGTGGCTTCTCAATAGACGTTCAGAAATCTTTGTCCTAGAGCCAATATCTCAATAAAATTTGAGAGAAATTTCTGTCTGGTATTCTTTTTTTTTTTTTTTACTTTTTATTGAGATTATGATAGTTTACAACCTTCTGAAGTTTCAGGTGTACATTACTGTTTGTCAGTCTTGTTGTAGGTGATGTTGTAGGCGAGGTGCACCACTTCACCCTTTGTGCCCACTCCCCACCACCCTTTTCCCCTGGTAACCACTCATCTATTCTCTTTGTCTACATGTTTAACTTCCACATATGAGTGAAGTCATACAGAGATTGTCTTTCTCTATCTGGCTTATTTCACTTAATACCCTCAAGGTTCATCCATGTTGTTATGAATGGGACGATTTTATCCTTTTTTATGGCTGAGTAGTATTCCATTGTATATCTATATATGTGTCTGTGTGTGTGTGTGTGTGTGTGTGTATATATATATACATATATATATATGTATACACACATATATATACCATATCTTATTTATCCAATCATCAGTTTATGGGCATTTAGGTTGCTTCCAAGCCCTGGCTATTGTAAATAATGCTGCAATGAACATAGGGGTGCATGAGACTTTTGCAATTGCTGATTTCAAGTTCTTTGGATAGATACCCAGTAGTGGGATGGCTGGGTCATATGGTATTTCTATTTTTAGTTTTTTGAGAAATCTCCATAATGTTTTCCATAGTGGCTGTACAAGTTTGCATTCCCATGTCTGGTATTCTTTTATATCCCAAAAGAATACTCCATAAGTGTCTAGGATTCTGTTGTTAAGGGTACAGGCTTTTGGCTTGTGTCAGCTATATGGGATTCTTTTTTAACTTCAATTAAAATGGTGTGAAAGGGTACATATCAACCTGATAACAATGGTACAGTACAAAGTTTGGGGCTTTTAATCAGTGGGGATTCTCTACCTTTCTTTAATGGTTGTAATGTTTATAAGGATAATCTATTCCTACATTAATAGATCAATTAAAATTAATAAAAACTCATTTGAAGTCATTGAATATTTTTAGTACCTATGTAGTATAGAATATTGTTAGGCTATGCTGGAAGTCTGTGCTATCACATTGTATTCTGAGTTACCTTAACAGCATATAGCAGTGAACAAGGGTCTGTGGCAGCTATAGCTGCACATGGCATCTTTCCTTTGAATTCATTTTTTTGAAGATTTTGGGAAGCATTAATTTAACTGGTGAGCTATTTTTAGTCATATTAAAATGCGTATGGATATATGGAGTAAGCATTTGATAACTGTAAGTATTGATTGAATAAATTATGAACATTTGGGCTGCTGGGAAAGAGAGTGAGTACAAAAGAAAGATTATCTAACCATTTTACTAGTTCTGGCTTTGATGGGGCCTAAGTCTAGTTCAATTTGGGATGATAATGGACATTAAAATGCTGCTCTATAGGGAGAAGGCAAACCTTTCTATTTCAAAGTAAAAGTTGACCTTGTCCATGCAGACAACATTAGACATTTGATACTATTGAGTTTGTTGATTTCAGAGGTGTTTATAAGAGGTGTTTCTATATTTATGAAATAAATGGCCAGGTTAATATTCTGTCAAAATTTTTTCTGTGTTTGTGGAAATGAGTTTAAGATTCTACCTTTGTATAGGAATTAAAAGTTATTTGCCTTTATTTTGCAGGGGCCCTGTTTAGCCTGATCCTCAGCCTATTTGTACTATGGAAGGAATATGCTGTTGACTTCCCAAAATACATATCTATAGAAAGGAGCAACAGGTGTGTCCCAGAGAACGTCTTCATTGATGTGCAGTATGGATGGTCATTCATGTTTGCTGCTTTTGGTACTCCCTTTGTGTTCATGTCAGGGATTATGTTTCATTTCATTGGTCGGGAGCTTGATGAATTTCATAAGTGAACAAAATAAAATGCCAAAAGACCATAGTGAAATTCTCTGGGCATATCACTGATGGACACTTGAATAAAGGTGAAGAAAATCTCAGGTTTTGACCTTTGTCAAGTGCTCAGAGCATTACTTATTTACTGATGAGTAAATATTGATTACATGTTATTGCCAAATGAATGAAATTTGAAGAGTGGTGCTATAACAGTAAAAGAACACTTAAGAAAAGTCATTTCAAAGGTGACTAGAATGAGTTAATTTGGTCTCAGTTTACAGAGACAAAAAGACTAGCTCTGGTTTCCTTCATGCATTTATAAATAGTCAGCAAGAGAGTGACTTCAAACTTTGGTACCATGATTTCATTTTCAGTCTTTCCAAAGCTGATCTAATTCACAGTAAGGTGTTTCTTTTCTGCAATTGGTCGAGTCCATTTTTTTTTTAAATAACTGATTAACCATAACTAACATACCTGACCAGAAACTATTATTTCTCAATTTAAAGCTCATGAATCTGCCAGGAGACATACAGATCATTTTTTGCCTCATTTCCCTCAGCTGACAGACTTTAAACAGTGGACACTGAGTTATACATGCATATTTTAATGGGCTGAACAGGAAACAGCTACATCTGAAAGGAAAAGTGTTTTTATATCTTCATGTCCCTTATTTGTATCCTTCCAACACAAAGAGATCTGTACTTGAGCAGGAGATTTATAAAAATATTAAAAACTTAGAATGCTCCATTTGAATAAATGCAATTAAAGATCATAGTTTCAAAAGGAAAAACAGTTCTATCATAGCAAGAGGATGACTTGCATCCAGAGAAAGTTAGTTCTAGCCTGGAGGATAGGAAAGTATGAATCTATTTCTGTGAATAATTTTGTTCACCTTTGTTAAAAAGTCAACTGTGTTAAACTGTAGTAATGAGGAAAAATAGTTAACATATTCATTAATTGGATCCTGTTTTCACCTGTATTGTTAACTCAAAATACTTCACAATTTAAACCACATCCACGTGCTCTTTAACCATTGCTATTTATCATTTAAAAAAATCTGAACAGAGTTAATGAAAAACCTGGAGATAATTTAAGGGGACATCCATGGGGGCAAAATTCTCCTAGATTAATTATTAATTTGTACCAAAATCTAAAATAAAAATATAGACTCACACATTGAAATCATTAATAGGGTAAAAGCCAGCCTATAGGTCTTTTTGAGGATTCTTACGGGCTCTGGTCAGGCTGTGAACTTCATAAGGGGAACTACTTGAGTGGTCACTATTAATGAAAATGTATCACTGATATGTTTTAATTTCCTAAGGTTTGAGCGCATTTGTAGTGACCCGGACTCAGTCAATATTCTGAGATAGTTCTAATACTTATGCTACCAGAATAAAAGCTCCAGTAACTGCTAATTTTCCTTCCATGCTGTGGTTACTGGTACGTATTCAATCATTATTACGTAAGATTTACATGAATTTTATTTAGTATGATCCAAATTACTATGGATAATACTTTAGAATTGTCCAATTATCTGTACCAAATGATACCTTTTGTTTATTTTATTGGATTTGTACACTTTAAAATTTTACTAATAAAATGCATGTTAAACTATGAACACTTGGTGTATCAGTTGGTATATTTGTTGCACATATATGATCTCTTTCACAGGTAAGGCAGAAATTCTGAAAGGGAGTAAAAAGTGTAACATGTCTTCAAAGTGAATGGATCTTAAAGATCATCTAGTCATGACCCCTCAGTATTACACATGAAAAAAACTGAGGCCCTGAGAGATGAAGTGTCTTGCGTAGACATGTATATATGACTATCAGACCTGGAAACTCAAATTTGTTTTGTTCCAGTCTCAGCCTATCAATAAGCAATCTCGTGGTTTGACTGGCCCTTGTGGCTCTTATGATGATTGCAAGACACACTGCAACAGTAGCTATCAGGAAACTTTGAAAAAGTAAGGGTTTATTATTTACAAGACCTGGAAATTGCACAGTACACCTGGGGCCACACAGTGAGTTCGCAGGTATATGTATATATAGAGAGAGGGTGCATAAGCCTGAAGTTCTCCTTTTATTGAAATTGAGGGTAGGGGCCTAGGGTTTTGCAGGCTCACTCTTTATTGCTGAATTTAAAACATAAGAGTGGGAATTTAAAGCATGGAAAGAGAAAAAATAAGCGGCCCAAGTGGTCAGTTATTAAAATTAACCAAGATCTCTAAAACAAAGGAGACTCAGTGGGGAGGAGGTGGCCTGGCTCTTTATCTAATTGTGTCCCTGGCCATGTGTTCCTTTGAGATAGCCCTCTTTGAAGTGGATGCCTCTTTGAAGTAGATGCCTTGGCAATCAAAGCTTAAGTCAGGCACTTGCATTACAAAAAAGAAAAAAAAAACAGCAACAACTGTCAGGGCTTATACTACAAAATTCTATTCTCTTTTGAAGTTTAGAATGTCAATTGATTTCCATGTGAATCAAGCCAGTGGCAACTAAATAGTGTGTAGGACAACAAGCCTAAATTTCACAATTTGCAGGGAAGTTTTCACTTTTCAGTGGATCAACAGGCTCTTGTTAAGATATATCGGTTGTATAGAGGGAGAATGAGGATGCCCATGACTTGAGCTAAGCCATTCCTCATAAGTGGGATAGCTACATCTTAGAGGAACTCAGAGAGGGCATAATTCATTCTTAGCTGACCAGATTTTTAGGGTAAACAGACTTAATAATGTCTCCAAATTATCCATAGTTAATCTTCCTACTCTATAATTTATAAAATACTCAAGAAATACTGAATGAGCTTACCAAACGATTCTTCTCACCTGATCTGCTCATAGCTTTGGGACTATTTTAAGGTTCAGAAGTAGATGGTGCTGTGTGTTTGTACCATGGAAGGTAGTGGGAAGAAGGAGCAGAGTTTGTGAATAAGGGAGAATAGCACACCTCCTCCTAAATACATTAATCTCCTATTATCTTGTGAATGTGTATCCTTGGCACTATTCCTCTTATCTTGAGAATGTGGAGAAGAAAAGGAGAAAGGCAAGTTTTAAAGTCAGGTCATGTTTCTTTTCTCTTTACACAAGTGTCTCTCTTTCCTTCTACATCTTTCATCCTGGAGGAATTCCAGCATGTGCTGCTGCTGCTGGTCTTCTCCTTGAATTAATGTTGTATGTAGCTTTTGAACTTTGGATTGGTAAGATCTCCAGTGCCACATTTTGGTCATGAACATAGAGTGAAAGGGCCGATAAGGTGACTCCCTTTATTTTTGATTGAGACCACTTATTTCTGCCAATTCTGGACAAAGTGCATCTTTGCTTTTGTTTGTAGATAAATGTGGTTTTCTGGGGAAAGGAAATGTGCATAAATGTTTGGAACTGAAAGAGAGTTAGTAGTAAACATTTTACATTCATTGACATTTCACTGATACACATTTTAAATTCAGTGATTTAGCAGGAGTAGCTTTGACTATAAAAGTTGAGAGGATGAGATTTGAAGATCCTATTACTGATGAATTTTATCAAAATTAATATCTACACTTTTGCCGCATTGTATATTGGAATTTCAAAGCATTTTATTTTTCATTATTAATGTTTAAAACAGACTGGTGATTGGGGTAGAGACATAGGGATAAATATAGAAGAGAGAAGTGGGGAGTTAAATAGGGTAGGTGATGCTGTATGTAGAATGAGGATTTGGAGCTTAGAATTACTTCTCTTTTAGTGAAGATCATCTGTGAAATTTTTAAATGACAAATCAGTGATTGTTGCAATGAAGCATACACTTTATTTTTGTATTACATTCTTGGTAGTGGGTTTTAAAATGACAGCCACCACTGTTTATTTATCCTTCTACAGAAAGACTAAGTACACTTTAGACTTACCAATTGCACCCAGTGGAGGGCCCACCAAGACTGTACATATAACAATAGAATCCCCTCTCTCTCAAAAGCACTGAAAACTAAGTCATTTGACACTTTGAAATACACTCATATTCAAAGGTTTTATTTAAGCCCAGTTTTACATGTTTTTAAATGACACCTCTTAGATTATACTTATGTTCCATTGGCACTCCAAATTGTAATTCTTTCCCATAAATTGTCTCTTTGGATAATATTTTTGTCATTTAATTAGCTGTTAAATATAGAGATGAAATTGTATGATTAAATAGAATAAAAGTATATAATTTAGAAGCAGAAGAGGTCAAGATTTAGTCCCTTACCTCTCATTCTTCCCATAAAACAACTTGAGCATGTAGAAACGGTATCTCCAAAAGGAAAACAGGGCCCAGAAGCAACGGAAAGCAACCTGAAGTCTATGGCTTATTGATATCCAAAACAATTAGTAACTAGGGCCTGAAATTGTAACTATGAAAGTGAATTCTCTCTTAGACAATATGTTGATTATTTTTCCCCATCATTTCGTTTTAAAAAGTTACACTAACTATCAAAACATTTATGGAATTTTTACCTCAATCAGGTATTCATGGCATGAGAAAGAGCCATCATTAGAGATTTAGTCATTCTATACCTGATTTAAGACTAGTAATAGTTTAAAACATTTGCTTTTTTAGAAAACTCATGACTTGACATATATTTCTATTAAAATATACAGTAAAATGTAATATATTCTAGTTGAAACCAGTCTGGTACTAACATGTCAATCCTATACTGTGCCTTATTTCTCTTGGGCCATACAGCATATACTAGCTAAAAAACAAATTATGAGCTAAATTGTTTTTTATTCAGACTCAGTTTTCCAAAGTGGCAGAACTGTCAGGTGATATAGCTAGAAAATGAGAGAGTAGTAATTCAGTTTTGTCGGACTATTGCTGGGCTTCAAGGGGTTTTGAGGTGGATTAGGAATGTAGATGAAAGGTTAACTAGAGCCTAGACAAATCAAACCCTTGCTTAATATAAATTTGAGCTGTATCTGTTTTTAGTATAAAATAATTTTATAAAAAGGAGCTCATATCTGTGATTTAGTTAAAAATACAGCTATCCAGATTCAGGACACAGTCAACCTAACTGCCTAATAATCTCAATCTCCATACACAAATCTAATGTAGAGAATAATGACCCTGGGTACCTGTGAATGATTCAGTTATCAAAGAAAAAATATGATAATGATTTGTAGACCAAAATTACTGAGGCAGGGAAGTGGATTGAGTGTATTTTGAGATTTAAAAAATTGGGTTGCAACATAAAGATATTTCCATTTGACTGTCATTTAATAAACAATTTATAATTTCCTTTTGTCTCTTCAACTTTGGTGATACTATATACTATTCTTTTAATTTACCTGTTTGTAGGAAAGACTGACCAGAAGCAGCTAAAGTTATACATATATATTTTAAAGACATCAATTCCTAAGTGAGTTAAAACTTTACAATTATTTCATGAATTTGCCTTGAAGGAAAGATCTCAAAACATAATGAGAACCCATTCATTACAATCCAATGCTGGTGGTGGATCCAAACAAGTGATGAACCTAGAAGAATACCTACTGTGAGACAGATCAACAAATGAAAATGAAAGCTTTTTCCCTCTTTCTTTCCTTCACTACCTCTTTCCAAAGAGATACTTAGCAACTTAAAAAGTTACAAGAAATTTTACAAAATGAAAATTAAGAATAGCACGTTCAACGTCAAACAAAGATGGACAAACCTGTAAGTTCTCTGGGAAGGAAGAGCCAACAATTTGAGAAAGTGAACTGGGTCTTCTAAGTGGTCTTTGTATACTCTCTGTAGCTTAAGGAACAAGCAATTGGCCTCTTATGTTACTATAGTCATACTTGGCCCTATAAGGAGTTCACAAATCCCTAAGGCTTAAATTTAATCTCCCTCTTAATGTTCATGAATGGAAGTATTACTCAGGGAACATATTCGTTTCCCAATTCATGTTCTTTTTGTCTTAGCCAACTTGAAAGTATTAGACTAGGAAGATGTCCAATAATAAGGAAATATTCATCAAGAACTAACATTCATGCTGCCTGTCTTCATCACAGTAGGCTAACTACTGTAACAAACAATTCTCAGTCTCACTGGCTTAATACAATAAATGTTCAATTTTCATGTTATATGCTCATGTGATTCAGTGGGTTTGGTGGGGCATATTCCCAGCACAGTCATCCAGGGAACAATCATTTTTCCAACTTGTGATTCCATTCTTTTCTAGATTCCAAGAGTACTCTCCATTCACCTGGCTTAGTAAAGAGAGAGAACATGGGGTATTGTGTGAGAGGCCTTTATTAGTTAGGTCTAGAAGTGGTATATATTACTTTCATCCATATTTTATTGCCACGAACTCAGTGATAAAGATTGCACCTGACGTCAAGGGAAGCTAGGAAATGTAGTTCAGCTGTTGGTTCAGGAACAGAAGAGAAACATCTGGTAAACAACTAGTGAAGCTCTGCTTCACTCTCTTCCTTGGGGGAAATAAATTCTCCACTTGGGACTCTTGCAATATTGACTACCATACCTTGTTATACAGAAATATGTGTTTCCTCTGTATTGTTTTTCAGACAAGTAAGGTGATTGTATAATTTGTTGTCCAAAATAGGATACTTTTCTTAAAAGGGATGCTATTAATTATGCTGAGACAGTTGGCAGTTACTTATTTAAGGTACTGTCTTGGGCAAACATGGACATGTATCCAACCCCACATATAGGCCATAGTTGCCTTTAGAGCTAGGACAATGAATAGTTGTATATCCCAATGGTATCTTGCACAGTGTTGAGCACTCAAGTGATCAGTAAACACCTGGAAGTTGGAAAACATTGTGGAATGAGGTCTTCTAAAAAAAATTCTGTTTCCTTTGAGGATGAGTTTCTATCATTTTTTCTTTCTGACTTTCCCATGGTCACCTGCAAAGAAACAGTTTCAAGAGCTATCGTCATATAGTCATTTAATACCGGCTAGGATCTGTTTGCCATAATGTATTGAGTATAGTTAGTGGCCATTTAAAAGTAGTAGGTTGTTCATATCACTATGCTGTCCACCAGTTGGCAACAAAAAAGGGGTGACATCAATCCCTACATTTTCAAAAAGTTATCTTTTCTGCTTTAATATTGTCATGACATAAGTGAGGTATGAATTGCTGTACTATCTTCAGATTTTGAGATTAAGAGGGCCAAGTAGGAGCATACTCACAGGAGAATGATTAAGACTGAG